TCTTTCTTTCTTTCTTTCTTTCTTTCTTTCTTTTCTTTCTTTCTTTCTTTCTTTCCTTTCTTTCTTCTTTTTCTTTCTTTCTTTTTCTTTCTTTCTCTCTCTCTCTCTTTCTCTTTCTCTCTTTCTCTCTTTCTTTCTTTCTGAGAGAGAGAGAGAAAGAGGGGCACCTGGGTGGCTCAGTCAGCTAGGTGTCCAACTATTGGTTTCTCCTCAGGCCTTGTTATCATGGGTCGTAAGATTGAGCTATCAGCTCCATGCTCTATGGCGAGTCTGCTTGAGGATTCTCTCCCTCCCCCTACTTGTTCACACATGTGCCTTCAAATAAATAAATCTTTAAAAAGAGGAAGAGAGAGAAAGAGAGAGAGAGAAAACACGCATGTGCGCAAGCATGCAGAAGGGGAGGGGCAGAGGGAGAGGGAAAGAGAGAATCCTAAGCAGGCTCCATGCCCAGCATGAAGCCCAAAGCAGGGCTCCATCTCAGGACGCTGAGATTTTCATGACCTAAGCTGAAATCAAGAGTACTTAACTGAGCCACCCAAGTGCCCCAAAATGGAATTTCATTTTAAGACACATATGTAAGTAGAGCCATAATTCTCAAACTGATGTTGGAGAATCTTTCCAGGGTTCCGCAATTAACTGAGAATTTTTAAATTTTTAAATAATATCAAAGATAAAAAAAAGTATATATACAAGATCATAATCAGAATCAGCTAAATGAAAACTATAAATGAGCAAAGATACCCAGTTTCAAGACTGGGGCTGGCAATGTTTCTAGGAGCTGGTGGAAAAACAGGCTGGGCTAGTTTAATGGCTTTTTAAAAACATGCTAAGGAGTCATTTCAGAAGTGTAAGAGAGAAATGTAATGGTAAGATATACATTCTGAAAAGATCATTTAGATATCTATATAAAGAATGAGTTAGAAGCAAAAAAAAAGAATTAGAAAAAACTATATAATATACAAATAGTAAACTGTAGCATAGTAGGGATGATGAAACAGGATTGGAAAGACAGATAAGGAGTGGAATCCATAAAACCAGGTGAACAGATTGGCTATGGGATGAGAGGGAGGAGCTTTTTAAAGCCAAAGGAACCAATATAAAATGTAGAGTAAATGATTAATATCAGTGATTAAAAACTCATCTTTTTTTTGTACTTTTAGAGAATCAACTGACTATTCAGACACACACAATTTAAAAATCTACACTAGGAACTTATGTCTTTAACTTTGCAACAATTATAAATTTAACAATTTCACTTTTATATAATGTGAGTTGTGCAATGGGCTTGGAAATTTTCCCTCTCCTTTGCTACATAATCTATTTTTAAAAATCTAGCTTAATTTCTTTCTACAGATCTTATAGAAGCTTAATGTCATCCTTTCATTATTTGGCAGCTTTATAAAGTATTTTTCCTCTAACAAACTTTTGTCTTCTTGGTTTTTACAGTGAACATGTAGAAGTCTCCAAATTATTTCTTCTCTTCCCATTTTAAATAGGAAAAAAAGTTTTCAGAGGCACATATAGTAATTGTCATAAAAAATTAATGGGAGGGAATTGCTTGTCACATTGTTAAATTTCATATAGGTTTTTATGTGATTGATCTCCCTGTGATTGATTTTATTTCCTTACACATTAAAAAGTCATTTGCCTGTTTCATCTCAGTGCCTAAAACAATGTCTGGCACATGGTAGGTGTTAAATAAATATTTGTTAATTACCGAATAAATCAATCAACTCATATCCCAAATAACAAGAGTATTAACTGTCAAGCCTCAGAGGAGGGTTGATCTTAATTCATTTAAAAAGAATGTAGGATTCCGTCTACTGGATCTTTTTTCTTTCCCTGTACAACATACCAACCCCATTCTGGGTTCTCTGCTGCTGTTCTGTTAGCTGTTCTCATACTTCTTCTCCCTACTTTAGGGCTTTCCAGGGCTATCAAATTTTTCTTCACCTACACATTTCCGAAAGAAAATCATTGCACTTAGTTACTATGCATACAATTATGACACTCACATTTTTTTTAAATGAAAGTTCTGTTAGAAGCTAATTCTGACTGAATACAAAGCATTTCAAATCAAAAAGTTATTATGAAGCACAGAATGTATGTCCAGAACAAGGCTAGCTGCTAGAGACAGTAGCATCTCTCTCTTTTATAAATCAAATGTAATTGCCATACTAATTTAGTACCATTATTATTCATCCTGTTGAAAAGCACATGAGCAAGCTCTCTTTTCACAGTTGGGAACTTGATTATCATTCCTTTTCTCCTTGAATTCATATTTTTATCTCACTTCTCCCACATAAATTTATCCTAACATTTTAGTGTTTGAAAATATTTTAAATTGACCATCCTATCACATTTCCCTCAACAACAAAAAAATATTTTAAAATTCCTGAGAACATAAGTTCTAAAAATTTTCCTCAGTATTATATTATGATATCATTAAATTACTAGATTACTACTGATCAAATAACAAAAATACTACAAATTATGATCATATGAAAATATCAGGTCAGCTTTTATTGGAAATGCATCTCATAAAGAAATAGATAGGGCCTTCTCCCCCAACACCCATTTAGATCATGTATCCAGAATGAATACTACTCATTGCTAGAAAGAAACAGGTTAGGTTGTTCTTCTATTTTGTAGTCTTCCATTCCAAGCATATGGGAGTAGAAGGATTTCTGGTTGTAACAGCAATCATTCTTTCGAACTACTAAGCCATGTACCAAAAATCACATAGAGGTATGACATAAAAATTATTTTTAATGGTCAGATGACAACTCAGGTCCTGCAATATTTTTGAAGGCCTTTGGAAACCGCCATTCTTGCAAAGGAATTAGCTACCCAGTCATTAGAATCACTCACTTTCTAAACCGATTTAGTCAGATTAAAGGTATTGCTTTATATATGTAGAGTAGGAGAGGGACAATTACCAAAGAGGAAGGGAGAAAGGTGTCTGATTCAGGCACACTCTGAGGTAGATCAATTTTAGGGAAGAAAACATGCAAGTGGACAACCTGAGAATTAGTACCCTCAAACTATCCTTTATGTAAAGGATTATGTCTGGAAATCCTCCATGTATCTTCTAAGGTTAAGGGTTAGGGATATGTGTTGCCCTGTTGTTTTTTTTATTAAAGATTTTTATTTATTTGTCAGAGAGAGAGAGAGCACAAGCAGGGGGAGCAGTAGAGGGAGAGGGAGAAGCAGGCTCCTCACTTAGCAAGGAGCCCGATGTGGGACTGGATCCCAGGACCCCGGCCGGGATCATGACCTGAGCGGAAGGCAGATGCTTAACGACTGAGCCATCCAGGCGTCCCATGTGTTGCCCTGTTTGAAGACTGTTGCTTCAGGATACACACAGATTTGGATATACAGAGTTTATCAAGTCATGACTTAAGTATGTTTACATCCTTTTGTCCGTGTGTATGTGCTTTTTTTCTTGGGGGGTTGTGGGTGTGATGAGGTGGGAGAAAATAATTTTAATATAAAATAATTTTGTTAATAAAGACCCACCTTTTTCATAACTGTAGTAAAGAGGTATTTTAAAATAAAAACAGACTCTTATCAGAAAAACTAAAATAATGGGCTAAGTCATTTTCTCCTTACTCAGTGAGAAAAGATAAAAATGAATTTCCCTTTGTTTTCGACAAGTCTCAAATTATTCTAAATTGTGAATGAAAGTTGAAAAATAGAAAACATTTTCATATCTACAAATTAGAAACCAGATTATCATTTTATTTCTGACGATTTGGGGTGCGTCAGCCAATTCTGTGACTATTCCTGAAAACTCTACTAGCGAAAACATCCTATTTAGTGGTCTTTTAAATTTGCAAAGCGGTTTACCAAGGCAATCAAAAAATAAATGATTCACGTCTAAAACAATAAAAACACCGCTCTCTTCCACGCCGCAGCCGGACAAATTGAAGCAAATGATTTTATTATTTAGATTTTTAAAAATATGATGTAACTTTAAGTTGCATGTGCTCTTTGTTCGTAATAGCCGTGAACTTTCACTAAAACCAAAAAGAGAAGCTTAACAAGAACAAAAACGTATTTTAAAGTTAACCCTTGAGTCGAATCCATTCTTTGATCAGAGCTGACAGGTGGGCTGATGAATTAAAACGCGATGTAAAAACACCTTCACACAGAACACCTATTTAAACAATATTTAAGCCTTCAGTTGACAAAGTACTAAGAGGGTGGCGAGGGGTGTCATTGTTGCTAATTGGCGGTTAATGAGGATAAACTGCCTACAATGACCGTTTTCTCGCTTATTTTTTTAAAAATCAGAAGTAGCCCTAGAGCTTGAGGGGTTCCATGGGGCTGCGACCTCCAAAGACAGGAAAGAGTTCAACTACTCCTGACTCCACAGCTCAGGGGTATCATCTAGAAATACTGAAAGGCGGTAGCAACCCTAGGGAAGCCGGTTACTATCCCCAAATCCCAAAACTTTGCCCTAAACTCAATAAAGTAGATTTTTTTTAAAGAGCACTGTGCCGAATAACTACGGGACCTTGAGTAATTCGCCGAGCTTGTGTTTCAATTGATGGCCTCACGTTTCGCAGCAGCGCCCAGAAAACGGAGGCGGGGGGCTTGAACAGCTTCCTTCAGCCCACCCCGAATGCGTCGTTAGTTTCCCAAGCTCCCGGCCACAGCGAGGCGACAGAGCTATAAACACGGAAGAGCGCTACTGAGGGGGCCCAAAACGCACCACAGACGCTCGGGGACCCCCAAGCGGACGCCGAATGAAAAAGACGCCCTGGAAAAAGGCAGAAAAACACCCCAACGACCCAACCCCCAAGGCGGCCTAACGCGCTTACCCAACTCCAGCTCCGCCTCCGCTCCTCACGTCGCCGCGGCCCCGCCCCGCCGCGGAGACTCACGGGACACGTAGTACGCTGCGCCCACTTTCTCCTTCCCTCACCCCTCAAAGCCCCGGCTTGGAGAACGCCCTCTCAGCTCCCTGCGGACCGACCGACTTCCGGTTTGCTCGCGCGGCCTCGGAACCCAGCCTGAGGACCGCGGGAGCTCCACTTCCGGCCGTTCACTGCTGGTCCTCCCTTCCAACCCCCCTCGACAGCGCTTCCTTTCCGCGAAACGCGACATGGCCATCAGCCCGTGTGAACGCTGACGAGGCGGGCGCCCGGTGGGCCTGGGTCTCGCGCGCGTGTCGCTGGGTAGCGGGCCTTCTCCGGCAGCCGCTCGGCCTTTCCTTCGGCTTGTCCCTCCTTCCACAACCTCCGGAGCCCCAGTCGACGGGCCGGGCTGCGCCGCTTGCGGCGCAGCGGCGGCTAAAGAAATGGGAATTTCTCCGAGGCGTTCCCGGAGCGGTTGCCTTCTCTGGGGAAGCGGCGGTGTCTTCGAGGAAACCGGAAGCCCGTGGTGACCCCTGACGACCCGGTTTGTTTTCCGTCCGTTTCCAAACACTGGGGAATCGAAACTCGGCGGCCCTGGGGGCGGCCCTACGTAGCCTGTCTTCGGGGTGAGTGACTCGCTTCAGCCGGGCCAGGGGTGCGGGCGGTGCTAGGACCAACCTCCGCTGCCGTTGCTGCTTCGAAAAGACACGTCATTTTCTTCACAAACCCGTGCGCTCTCCTTTGGCTAGGGAGCAGCCCGTCCCTGGGCTTCCCTTACTCATGTCACCTTTTCATGCTAGTTATTCCAGGCCCTACTTTGTCTTTCACTCTCTTTGTCTCCATTGCTTATTTTCTTTCCGTACTCTGAATTACTAGGGCGCCATTAGTTTTATTTCATTCATTGAGATTGCATTTATATCGAAAACTAAAGAGGGACGGTACTGCCTGAGGCAGTGGACATCAGCCCCCCCCCCCCCCCCGTTATCGAGGCTAACAGTAGATATTCGTCGTTTCTGCAGTGTCTAACCTGTATGTTTGGTATGATTTTTGATCATTTGTTGAGTGACTACTACATACATGCATGGTAGGTTGACTCGTGTCCGTACAAGGAACTCACTCGAAAGCGAGATACAATATTCGCTAAAACAGTAATACAAGTTGAAATATAAACTGCTCCAGCATGTGTTGTTGGAGATATGCTAAGATGATCGAAGACAGTGACGTACTAGGATTGAAAGTGACTCGTGCTTCTTAAATATAGGGGACATTTTTTTTTCCTGCTATGGAATTTTGAATTGGATTGCTCAAGTTCTCAACGCATAATTTAAATTCTGGTTCTCTAAACGTGCCATATCTAATTTCCCAACCTTTTGTGATCACTCCCTACTTCATCTGTAAATTAGGAATACTACATCACTCACAGGGTCCTTAGAAAATTTTAATGTAATATTGTTTATAAAATGGGAAGATGTATACAAATGTCAGGTTTTAGTATTAGAGAGTATAGTGTAATGGGAAATGCACTCTATTGAGTCAGAACATTAACTCAAGATCTGAGTGAATTTTCCACTAGCTCATTTGACACTGGATAGGAGACTAAATCTCTTCATTTTCCCAGTCTCTGAAATGAGAGTAATGCCTAACTCTCCAAGGCACCAATGCTTAGTTTCTAAGAGTTTCCCTTTGCTTTAGAGTAAGCTGGCTGGTTTACATTCCTGGCTTCCTCACTTTCACCCTTTGCCTTTCTTTCAGTCCACCTGTGATAACAGGAAATTCTTGCCCACATCAGAGGTCTTAGATTTAATGAATTGTTATGAAGAACAAATGGGGTGATTCTCCTAAAAACTGCCAGACATACCATTGTATGTCTGTAAATATTAATTAGCAACACTGAGCATTTTTATGTTTATTGAATGAAATGTGATGAAGTTTTTCAGAATCCACGAATAGAACCAATGTGATTTATTTTTTTCTTCCTTGTACTTATATTCTGGATTAAGGTATAGTCGTCTTATGGCTATTAGAGGGTAATTACTGCTAATACTAGTAACAGTGTATATAAGTGCTCAATTCTGTTGAGATATATTACTTTATGAAAAGATTGAAAAGAAGTAGACTGCTCTTCAAACCTACGCTAACCCTGAAAAAAATCTTGATTCCCTAGCCATAACACTTATTTTTGGACTAATGCAGTTTAGTGACATATAGAAAAGGGAGTGGAGTTTCTCATACTGTGTATCTGATGCTGAGTACATTTTGGGCATTCACTGAATTATAGGGCATTTGAGTTCTGAGGTATATAGATGGAGTGACAGTATCATGAAAAAAGGCACTTGATTATCCCTTCTTTATAAACTAGGTAGGCCATTCCTGTCCCTAAGTATTTAATTAAAAATAGGGAGTGAAGGGGCACCTAGGTGGCTAAGTTGGTTAAGTCTTGGACTCTTAATTTAGGCTCAGGTCATGATCTCAGGGTTGTGACATTGACCCTGGCTGGGGTAGGGCTCCATGCTCAGTGGGAGTCTGCTTGAGATTCTCTGTCTCTCTGTTTCTCTCTGCCCCTTCCCTGTTTGTGTATGTGCTCCAGTGCTCTTTCTTTCTCTAAAAAGAAATAAATCTTTAAAAGATATAGGAGGGTGCCTGGGTGGCTCAGTCAGTTGATCGTCTGACTCTTCGTTTCCGCTCAGGTCATGATCTCAGGGTCATGAGATCAAGCCCAGAGTTGGGCTCCGTGCTCAGCGGGGAGTCTGCTTGGGATTTTCTTCCTCTGCCCCTCCCTCTCCCTCTAAAATAAATAAAATCTTTAAAAAAAGAAAGAAAAGAAGAATGAGGAGTAAGTGTTGGTCTGTTTGCCTCCGTAAGATTTAATCCTTGCTCCACTGTATGGTGACTGATCCTATGAAGTGGGTTAGGGATATTCTAGCTTTTCAGAGGTAGAAAGATGATGGAAATAGGAAATTCAGTTCAGGAGGCAATGTAGAATAGTGGAAAGAGCCTACTAAATAGTCCTTAATTCCAACCCCAGCTCTGTCACATATTGCCAGGTGATTATCGGCAAATTAACCTCCACCTCTTTGAGCTTAAGTTTCTTCATCTGTGGTGGTGGTGATAACTTTTTAGCCAAGTTTGGTGTGGATTTGAGGTAAGATTTGTACTATACCATTTATTTAGTTTCTGGCAAAAATGTGAATTCCTTCTGTTCAGGCTGCCATTCTATATTTGCATTAAATTTTTCCTTCACAATTTAGGAGGGTAGTATCTTAGTATGTAATTCAACCTTGTCATTTTATTGGTGGGAAAATTTAGATCCGGAGAGGTAAACCAATCAGTAATCAAGGTGGCAGATCGTAGACTAGAATCTGGGTTTTTCAATCTCTGGTCAGGGTTCTTTCTACCGCTGAGTTTTGCCTTTTCCGGATTCTTGATGGAAAAAATCTGAATCCATGTTGTGTTGCCTCTCAGAATGTTGTATTAGGAGCACAGATTTGGAAGATAACTTACCTGGGCTTACATCCCAGCTTTGCCGCTGATAACTTATATAGCTGTAGGTAAGATGTTTAATTTTTTTCTAAGACTTTGTTTATAAATTAGGATAATAGTACCTACGTTGGAAAATGCATTTGGAAGCACTAGTGCCTGGCATATGGTAAGTGATGAGTATGGTAAATATTATGATGATGAAATATGACAGGAGAATCATATTTTTTCCTAGAAAAGAAGATATTTCTGTGTTTTCTAGTATCTCACAAGCCACTATATATAGCATGTCTCAACTTGGGGTCCTCTTAATGTTGTCTGTAGTAAAGACTGAAATTTAAGATTTTCTAAAATAGTTCTTACAGTGTTTGAATCTTTTTTTTTTCTTTGTCTCTTCCTTAGCCTCACAAACTGCTCTTGCTTCTTTCTACCCACCGTATCTGGCAAATTGTGCCCTTCTTTCTCCATTATCATTTCAATATTGTGATTTATGAGAATTGTGTATTTGATCATTTAGATGACCAGAATGTATTTCTCATATATATTTGGCTTTAGTCCACAGTTCTTGGCCCTCAGCTCCCAAACTCTTGGAATTTCCTGAGGGTAAGAGTTAAATAGGATCATCTTTCGTCGTAATATTTGGTCTCTCAATATCTTTTATGGAGCCATGAAGGTGAAATGCATGTCTTGTTTATTTCTAACAAGCTCCTTTCTACCAGGACTGGGTTTATGTTAATGGGGTGACTTTTGGACAGCAACTAAGGATGGGAGCTGATTGCCAAGGAAACCAGTCCTATAATTAGAGGGTTGAAGCTTTCAGTCCCACCAACACTGGGGGATGAGGAGGCGAAATTTTAATCAGTTGCCAATGATTTAGTCATTTCTGTGTAAGGAAGCCTCTGTAAAAACCCAAAGAGGAGAGAGTTCAGAGAGCTTCCAGAATATTTTCACATGCCACTATGCTGGCCCCAAATTCCAGAAGGACAGAAGCTGCTTTGTTCAGGACCTTACCCTATGTATCTGTATGGTTAGAAGCACAGGTTAACAACCTAGGCTTACAGTTAGCATCCAAAGTAGAGGGCAGTCTTGTGGGAGCAAGCCCTTTACCAGTGGAATATGTTGCTGTCTCTTGGTAGATAGTATTAGAATGGAGTTGAACTGTAGGCTACCCAGCTGCTGTCCAGAACATTGCTTTTTGATAATGTAGAAACATCTCACATTGGAATTGGCTGACCAGAGCACCATTTAATCATTCTTGGGAATTTCACTGTTCTCAGCAATAAATGTCAGCATCTTTCACCTTAACCCCCGCTCTTTTTTTTTTGTTGTTTGTTTGTTTGTTTGTTTTTTAAGAGATGCAAGTGTGGGAGGGGTGGTTGTGGGGAGAGGCAGAGGGAGGGAGAGAATCTTGAGCAGGCTCCACACCCAGCATGGAGACCCACACGGGGCTTGATCTCAACCCTGAGATCATGAC